TCCTCCGCCGCCGCCGCCTTCTCCTCCTCCTCCTCCTCCTCATCCTCCTCCTCCTCCTCTTCCTCCTCCTCCTCCTCCTCCTTGTCATCATCATCATCGTCGTCATCATCAACATCATCAGCATCAGCATCAGCATCATCATCATCATCATCATCATCATCATCATCATCATCATCATCATCATCATCAGCAGCAGCATCATCATCAGCATGATCAGCATCATCATCATCATCATCATCATCATCAGCATCAGCATCAGCATCAGCATCAGCATCATCATCATCAGCATCATCATCATCATCATCAGCATCATCATCAGCATCATCATCATCATCATCGTCATCGTCGTCATCATCATCATCATCAACAGCATCAGCATCAGCATCAGCATCATCACCATCATCCGAATCATCATAGTCAGCATCATCATCAGCAGCATCAGCATCATCAGCATCAGCATCAGCATCATCAGCATCATCAGCATCAAAAGCATTATCGTCCTAATCATCATCAGCATCAGCCGCATCATCATCATCATCATCAGCAGCATCATCATCATCATCATCATCATCATCATCAGCATCATCATCATCATCATCATCATCATCATCATCGTCATCGTCGTCATCATCATCAGCATCAGCATCATCATCATATCAGCATCGTCATCATCATCAGCAACATCACCAACATCAGCATCATCATCATCATTAGCATCGCCACCATCATCATCATCATCATCAGCATCATCAGCATCATCATCATCATCAGCGTCATCATTATCATCAGCCGCATCATCATCAGCATCATCGTCATCATCATCAGCAGCATCGCCATTAGCATCCTGAGCGTCAGCATCATCAGCAGCATCCTCGGCAGCATCATCAGTATCATCATCATCAGCATCAGCAGCATCATCATCAGCAGCAGCATCATCAGCATCATCATCAGAATAATCAGTATCATCATCATCATCATCATCATCATCAGCAGCATCCTCATTCGCATAATCATCCATCATCAGCATCATCACCATCACAAACACCATCATCATCATCTTCATCTTCATCATCATCATCATCATCATCATCATCATCATCATCATCATCATCATCATCATCATCATCATCTACATCATCATCTACATCGTCAGCATCAACATCATCGTCGGCAGCATCAGCATCACCATCATCATCATCAATATCATCATCAGCAGCATCAGCATCATCACCAGCATCAGCATAATCAGCATCATCATTATCAACAACAGCAGCAGCCTCAACATCATTATCAGCATCATCATAAGCATCATCATCAGCAGCAGCAGCATCATCATCATCGTCAGCGTCATCAACATCATCAGCAACATCATCAGCAGCACCATCAGCATCATCATCGTCATCGGCATCATCATCATCATCAGCATCATCATCAACATCAGCAACATCGACATCATCATCAGCATCATCAACATCAGCATCATCATCATCATCAGCAACATATTCATCATCAGCATGGGCATCATCATCAGCAGCATCAGCATCAGCTTCATCACAATCAGCATCAGCAGCATCAGCAACATCATGATCATCATCATCAGCAGCAGCATCAACATCATCATCATCATCATCATCATCATCATCATCATCATCATCATCATCGTCATCATCAGCATCATCAACATCATCAGTATCATCCTCCTCCGTCCCCTCCTCCTCCTCCGTCGCCTCCACCTCCTGCTCCGCCTCCTCCTCCTCCACCCCCGTCCCCTCCCCTCTTCTTCCTCCTCCTCTTCCTCCTCCTCCTCCGCCTCCTCCTCCTTATCCCCATCCCCATCCTCATCCTCCTCATCCTCCTCCTCCTCCCCCTCCTCTTCCTCCCACTCCCCCTCTTCATCATCCTCCCCACCCCCTCCTCCTCCCCCTCGTTCCCTCCCAATTCGTCTCCTCCTCCTCCTCCTCCTCCTCCTCCTCCTCCTCCTTCTCCTCCCCCTCCTCCTCCTCATCGTCATCATCCGCCTCCTCCTCCTCCCCCTCCGACGCCTCACCTCCTCCGCCTCCTCCGCCTCCTCCTCCCCTCCACCTCCTCCTTCTCCCTCATCCCGCCTCCAGCCTCCCTCCTCCCTCCTCCCTCCTCGTCTCCTCCTTCCCTCCCCCCCTCCTCCTCCTCCTCCTCTCCTCCTCCCCCTGTCTCCGTCTTCTCCTCCCCCTCCTCCTCCTCCTCCTCCTCCTCCTCCTCCTCCTCATCATCATCATCATCATCATCATCATCATCATCATCATCATCATCATCATCATCATCATCATCATCATCATCATCATCATCATCATCATCATCATCATCATCATCATCATCATCATCGCTCCTCCTCGCTCCTCCTCGCGCCTCCTCATCCTCCTCGTCCTCCTCCTCTTCCTCCTCCTCCTCATCCTCCCCCTCGTCCTCGTCCTCGTTCACGTCCTCGTTCACGTCCTCGTCCTCGTCATCGTGCCCGGTCTGGTCCTCCTCCTCCTCCTCCTCCACCTCCTCCTCTTCTTCCTGTTCCCCCTCCGCCTCGTCCTCATCATCATCTGAGTCTGCGCATTAGTAGTATTAGATGTGTTCGCATTTGTCGTCGTAAGATTCAAGTAGTATGATTACCATTGTCAGTATGTTTACGTTTGTTATCAGTGTTAGTATTGGTATTGAAAGTTGTAGTAGTAGTAGTAGTAGTAGTAGTAGTAGCAGTTGTAGTAGTAGTAGTAGTAGTAGTAGTAGTTGTAGTAGTCGTTGTCGTCGTCGTCGTAGTAGTAGTAGTAGTGGTATTAGTAGTAGTAGTAGTAGTAGTAGTAGTAGTAGTAGTAGTAGTAGTAGTAGTAGTAGTAGTAGTAGTAGTAGTAGTAGTAGTAGTAGTAGTAGTAGTAGTAGTAGTAGTAGTAGTAGTAGTAGTAGTAGTAGTAGTAGTAGTAGTAGTAGTAGTAGTAGTAGTAGTAGTAGTAGTAGTAGTAGTAGTAGTAGTAGTAGTAGTAGTAGTAGTAGTAGTAGTAGTAGTAGTGTAGTAGTAGTAGTAGTAGTAGTAGTAGTAGTAGTAGTAGTAGTAGTCGTAGCAGTAGTAGTAGTAGTAGTAGTAGTCTCAGTGGTATTCGTATTACTAGTAATAGCAGTGTGTTCGTTCTTCGTGGTGCTGCCACTACTCTTAAAATTCCGAGTGGCCTCATTGGTTGTATCAGCATTTTTCGTGGGGCAATAGTCTGCTTAATGCTCATATTATGAGTATTCGTGGTAGTATTCGGCTGCTTGACCATCGTCGTATGGTTACTCTTCGTAGTGTTGTCAAGATGTCTTATCTTCGTACTAGCATGCTTCGCAGTTTTTGCTTCTTACGATGAATCGTACCATCAGTCGTTCGTATTAGTGATGCGATCAGTGCTCTTGTCGCTCGTATTAGCAGTTTGATTCGTCGCCATCGCATGATGGTGGTAAGTCTTACGCGTAGTCTTAGTGCTTGTCTTACTATTCTTGATAGTAATATCATTAGAACTATGATTGGTATCAGTGTGAGTGTCGTTAGTGTTCGTGCTAGTAGTATGCTTACTCGTCTGAGTCATAGTGCTCGCCTTCTTCTTGTAATTCGCTATAGGATTGCTCTTCGTAGTAGTCTGTCTATTAGCATTAGTAGTGATAACCTTCTGATATAATTCGTAGTAGTAGTAGGATTCGTGTGTGCCGTACTTTTATTCATAGTATGATGAATGTTAAGATTCGTTGTCTTCTTATTCATAGTCGCATGATGCTTCTTCTTACTAGTCCTAATATTAGTATTAATATGTTCATTAGTTCTCCTCCTCCTCCTCCTCCTCCCTCTCCTCCTCCTCCTCCTCCTCCTCCTCCTCCTCCTCCTCCTCCTCCGCCTCTTCCTGCTCCTTGTCGCAGTCCGCGGGAGCACCACAACGTGCGGAACACACACTATGGAATGCCAACAACAGCCTCAAGGGATCCGCCATCCTGCAGCTGGGAACGGATAGGGCGCGTGCTCTGGTCCTTTGCCTAATCTCGCAAGCCTCGGCCATACATCCTGAGGGGTCTGAAGGGGCCCAGAGCAAAAATTGCCAGATCCAATGGGGCCCAAAAAGGCCCCCAAGACCACCCAAGAAGGCCCTGTGACGCCCAGAGATCGCCCCAAAACGCCCAAGATGGCCCCAAGACGGACCAAGAGGCCTTCACAACGACCCAAGGAGCCCAAAGAAGAGCCTTCCCAAGAGGGCCCCCAAAGGCCA